CTTGCTTGGGAAAGAGAGGCTGGAATCTCGTTTTCTTTGTGTGCTTCCCACTGAGAATCTCCTCAGACTCTTGGATCCATTTCTGTGCGTCTCGAGGGTATCCTTTCTCTCTTCACTTGCTTCCCAGAATAGTAGTCTTCCCCCAGATCAGGAGAAACCTTTTGACAAATTTCTGGACACCTGGTTCCATCCTCCCTAATGCTTAGAATATAAATTGCCTGAGAGGCAAGCCTGTTTGGTTTGAGGAGCTCCTAGGATGCCAGCTCAGTTCAGGGAAACATGATCATTAAGTGAAAATAAGTTCCACGTATATGCCCTTGAGGTGTGATCAGTCATGTTAGCAATCTTAGAATTTAGAAGGCTAATCTGGAGAAAACGTGCTCATAAAGTCTAATGGCACATCACTAGCTGAATACCTGAATCATCATGGTGGCACAAATAACCCACCCTGCTAAGGAGTCTGCCCTTTCTTAGGGTATGTCTACACGTCAAAAAAGCTCCCTCCCTCCCCTGGCAGAGAGTCTCAGAGCCTGGCTCTACAGACTCTTGCTATGGCACTAAAAATAGCTATGTTGACATTTGGGCTCAGGCTTTCAAGGGGTGGTGGGTTTCAGCCTGCACAGCTGTTTTTAGTGCTGTAGCCAAAGCCCTGAGAGCCCAGAAATGTAGACCCAGACTGAGACTTGCTGCTGAGTGTGGGGGTTATGTTGTTTTTTGCTGTATAGACATACCTTTATTCTCCTCTCAGTAAGACTCCACTTGTTCTGGGACAGCTTAACTGTACAGCAGACCGGCTAAGCAGATCCAAGGAGAATGGTCCCCAAAGACTGAAGCCTTTCAGCAGATATCCAGAACCTTGGGAAAACTCACAATAGAACTGTTTGCAACTAAATGCACTGTCAAGTGCTTTCTTTCTTGTCAGCCAACCAAGCCCAGCAATGTTGGTCCAGAATACATTTGTTATTTCATTAAACTTGTCCTGGTGTATGTATTTCCCCCTCTTGGTCATCATGGGACACTTTAAAAAGAAAAAAAAAAAGATTTAAAAAAAATCATGATGGTTCTGGATTAGCTAGCTTGTGGAAGCTTGGTATGCCTACCTGCTGATGCTCTCCTGAAGGATAAAATTCCTTTGGTGTTATGCCATAAAGCAGGAGACACCTACGTGCATCTGGCTGACTTTGCCTGTGACAGATGAACAAAATGTTTTAACTAATGTAAAAACTACAAAGGATGCCTTACTTGAAAATGTTAGTCAGTAGCATTATTTTACAGTTGATTGCCTATCTGAGCATAAAGTTAACTGTAAATTAGGCAGTGAGATGACACAGTGATGGTCTTATTAAAAATGCAAATATAGAAGCTATGTTTCAACTTAATCTTTTAAGGGGTTCATTAATTGTTTTCAGGCTGTAAACAAAGTTATTTTATGGCCTTCCCGCCCAACTCCAAAGGTGTGCAAATTTGCAAGCCAAAAATGATGATTGTGTGGTAATTGTGTCCCCCTCCCATGTTGGAAGTATACACTACAATTAGACCCTTCTTTTTGTACTACAAGTTGATTTATGTCCTCTTTAAAAAAAAAAAAAAAAAACAAACAAACAAAAAACCCCAAACCAAAGTTTGTGGTAGAATCCAGTTGATAGGAAAAAGGACCATTTTGACATAGAGCTACTTAACAGTTCAACTACTTTAAGTCTTAAACAATGTCTAAATATTGTCATTTTCTTAGTATGAATGCAGGATAGAAGCTGATTTATGATCCTACGCTGGGCTCTCTGATTGTGAATTAAGTTGTCTCCCTCCTGGAGCATGGCCAGTAGGAAGCCTTCCAGACACTGACTGTTTTTAATTTTAAAATATGACTTAAGCTGAATAGAGCACTAAATGAATTTTCTCACGGCTGAACTGAATAAGGTGACTGCTGCTTAGTTGTATCTATCAAAAACACTTCTAGACTATCATCTTATTGTTTTAACCATACACTGTTGTATTTTGCCTATATACTTTTTAGACCAGGGTCCTGGATGATGCTGTGTGGCAGAATTCTAACAGATTACTGAATTTCTGTACAAATCCTTCCGAGTGTTGAAATCTTTAGAGATGATTTTTTGTAATACTTCTTTAAAGTCAATGTTTCATTAAAACACAGTAAGCTAAGTAAAGTAAAACTATATACTGAAGGTGACTGAAGAAAAGGCAGCAATATCTAATGCCACCTCTAAGACACAGGTTAGGGAGAGAATTCCAAAACCCAGTACACAGAGAGATTTCAGTAGGAGGCCATAGAGGCTGTGTGATTTGTGGAAATAGTTACACACTTCCATATGCAATATTCTGTTAGCCAGACTTAGTACTATCAAATGATTTGGGGCTCCTCCTTAGCTGTTCTTGTGACATTGTCAAGTGTATCCATGTTGCATATGTAGAACCTGAAATTTCTCACACATTAAAGGGTAGACGTATGTGCAAATGCCTGATTTTTAATTCATAAGTTTTGCCAGCACATTTGAGGAGGTCTGCTTAGAAAGTGGCTTAGTGTCACTGACTCTTTATTCGAGGAGTATTGAGTAAAGCAGGACTTTGAATAACTTTCCCATTCAACTCTAGGACAGTGTGCTGCAACCCAAATTTTGAAATAATGTTCCTTATCTACAGGTAACCAAAGTAAGTGTCTGTGGTTAAATGAAAGGTAAAATAAGGCCTCAAGTTAATTTTGAATTTAAGGTTCTTTATTTTATTTTCACCTTTAAAAGATTCTTGAACTGAGTCTTGATACAATGTGCCCAATTATCAGCCAGTAGGTGCATTAAAGAGCATTTACAGCAGAACCAAAACCAGTAGAATGCAAATATTCTCTGAACCGTTTAAGATTTGATCTGCAAAACAAAGGATTCAATACTGTAAGCTGAAATGCCATACTTAAGTCTCCCCCTAGTGTACAGGTTTTGTAATACACACTATGTAAAATTATCCTGTTTTGCAATACCTGCAGTAGGCACAGTAGAATGAATTTCAGCCTTAATAATAATAATAATAATGGAGATATCCCATCTCCTAGAACTGGAAGGGACCTTGAAAGGTCATCAAGTCCAGCCCCCTGCCTTCACTAGCAGGACCAAGTACTGATTTTGCCCCAGATCCCCAAGTGGCCCCCTCAAGGATTGAACTCACAACCCTGGGTTTAGCAGGCCAATGCTCAAACCACTGAGCTATCCCTCCCCCCCCGGGATTAACTGTGAATCTCTTTACTTTCTTTGAGGTTAAGGTCCTTAATATTGTTTGAATATCGCTTTTTATGGGTTAATTTCTGTGCATTTATTTTAACAGTAGCTTAAAAGAAAGTGGGTGGAATCTTTTTGTGGAAGTTTCAGTGTTCTGTTACACCTTGCATTTAGCACTTTTCATCTGAGACTCTTAGACCATTCTACAAATGTTAATGACTTCCTCTGTGAGGAATATGGTATTCCTTACGTTTTACTGATGGGGGAAACTGAGGCACTGAGTGATCATCTTGCTTAGGCTCATGGGTGCAGTTTGTGGGAAAACGGCATGTAGAGCTCTTGATGCCAATCTTGTACTCTAACCATGAGACTTTGGCCCTTTGCAGCAAACTGTAATACATTTTTTTGCTCTGTTGGTTAATGGAGACTTAATACTGCAGTATGTATGTTTTAAAATTGCATATCCAGTTACAGCACCACTGTATCTTATCTAGATACAGGTTATTTCCCTTGATACAGGTTATTATGGATTCATATTGTGCCATTATTCTGACTATCTTTCAGAGTTGTAAGTCAGATATTAACATTTGACCGAGTTTTGCAGCAGAACAGTACTAATTCTCACTAATTAATGAGATTGTTCACTTTTTAAAAAATTAGAAATCAAACAAACATTTAAAAAAACAGGGTATTGCACGACACAATATACTATGTTCACTTTATTTTGACCATTACAGTTTATTTTGTATTTCGAATAGTTCATGGTGTACTAGTAAATGTACTTAAGTATGCTGAAACATTACTAGAGCACTCTGCTGTGAAAACCCTGAGAGATAGGGAGAAATGGCCAATGCTTGTGTGAATTGGTAAAGTACAGACTGGCTAGGATTTTATTCTAGTTAACGATCCTCTCATAGAAGTATGCAGGGACTGAAGCTGTTTTGATGTATTGTAAATGCACATTTGTTTGAAGGAACTATTTGCTTTTAGATATAGATCTCTTTAAATGGCGTATCCTTCACACTTTCTCTATAGCTAAATCTACTCAAACATATACACTACTATATTTGAATAAAACTGTGTAATTAAGCAGTTACTATTTTTAAGGGGCCCAGTCTACTCCTATTGGTATCAATGGGAGGGCTTTTAGCTGTTGCCCTTTTCAGCTGTTGTGTGTGGAGGAACTTACAGTGTGCATGTTGCCCTTTATTTGCGGCTTGCAATTTAGGATGTAAGGGTCTGTAGCTGATGATAAAGAACTTCTTTCAGCTCCAGTGGTGGTAGTCTTTGTTTTTACCTGTAGGGCTCAATTTCAGGACCCACTTCTGCAGGTGTGTGGCTTATTACTCTGGTAAAGCAGTATTTTATGTCCACTTTGTACATGTGAAATTCATAAAGAACAATGCAGTGGAGAATTGGGCCTCACTTTCTTGTGTAGCAAATGAAAATGTGTATCTTAAAAAAACCACACTAACCTGGCAACTTCCAAAAATGAAAAGGTTTCCAAAACCAATGAAGATTGCTGAGTGACAATGTATGTGCTTGTTGTTATATTTATAGAACCCAAACACCTAAAAGCACAGAAATTAATAATTAAATAAATCGACACTGTTTATTTAAAAAAAAGCATACTTCATCACAACACCCAATATACATGTTCTTACTAAAGTGCAACATTAATAAGAACCTGCAGTGTTCAGATGAAAACAAACACTATGCAAATGAGTACATAAATCATGTTAATTTGGTCTTATAGCCACATATGTTTCTTTTCAGGGTGTCGATGATGCCTTCTACACGTTAGTTCGAGAAATCCGAAAACATAAAGAGAAGATGAGCAAAGATGGTAAAAAGAAGAAAAAGAAGACAAAGACAAAGTGTATAATTATGTAAATACAATTTATCCTTTATTCTTAAGGCATACTTAAGAAAGTGATTTTTGTACATTACACTAAATTATTAGCATTTGATTTAGCATTACTTAATTTTCTTTCTGCTTCATGAACCTGAATGCTTGTTTTAAATGACAGTGGAAGCTTTATTCCTCTTAAGTGCCAGTATTCCTTGAGTGTTGGTTCTTGAACTAGCAATGCCCGTGGAAGGAAAAAAAACAAAAACAAAAACCCTGAGAATTTTCTTAGGATTTTTTGGTGCATGCAAAGCTGCTAACTTCCTATTTTTCTTACCAATTGTGAACTTTAGTTCTGTGTGCAAACAAAATAATGAAAGTGCTCCACAGGCTCTTATATCGTTACTGTGGTTTTTTATCTGGTTGAATAAAAGGACTAGTTAGCATAAGAAATTTTTATTTCCGACTTGTTTTCTTTTATTCTAGACTGACTGCAATATTGAGAGACCAGAAGCCTTTATAGTCTTCCTATAGATTCTGCTTCTAGGCATCTAGTCTTGTAGCATTTCAGATCAACTTCAATGAATGTAAAGATATAACTTTCACAAAGTTTTTCACTGCAATTTGTCATCGTCACTCCTTAAATACTATATTTTTTCTATAAAAAAAGAAAAATTAAAAAAAGACAATAGTGCACATCTGGCAATGGAAAAAGTAAAAGTTCTAATTAAATTGATTTGCTATTGTAATGCTTTGCTTAAGACTTTCACTAACTTTTTGTGTCAGGAGACCCAGGGTTAAATCCTGGCTCCACTGAAGTAACTGGCAAACTTCAAAGTAGCTTCAGTAGGGTCAAGATTTCACCCTCAGCGTCACTACTAAGAAATACTGGAAAGCCTTAACAAATGAGTAATTCAGACACTTACAAAAGTTAATTCATATGTTGATTCAGAGTTTAATCCTAAAAATGAGGTCAGGATCTTTACCTTTATAGATGTCAGAACCATTTTTTCAAGAGTGGCATTAAATATTTCCAAATGCCCATTTTGTGTATAATAGGGGAGGCATTTTAAAGTCCAGTAACCTCTTTAGATTCAGTAATGGCACTTGAATTCAGCTGCTTCATACAGATTAGTTGGAAATCCACTATGCCATAAATATAGGGATGATGGAGAATTTGCACAAACATTCAGTAGGCATAGCTGATATTATGGTTTCCAGAGCTAATGTTGTTTTGTGTTCTGCTGTGATTCTTGTGAAATACTAATTTTGTTTCACAGATTATATGGTTGTTTAGTGGAATAAAATGTCAAGATTGTTACACATCGAAACCAGGTTTTCAGTGTTGTTGTTCCCAGAGTGATTTTTTCTTGTGATTTTTCTGATTGGAGTTAATCCATTATTTTGAAGAAGCTTTCATTTGCAGTATAGCAATAGTTTGGTTAATCTGCATCAAAGTGAGAGCCAGCTATCTCGTGTTGCCAACTCTTGTGATTTTCATCGTGAATTTAGTAAATTTGATGTTTTTCTTAAGGCCCCCACTCCTGGAGTTGAGTTGAGTTTACATGAGAATCTCAGCTTGCTTTTCTAATGTTTCTAACCCTCATAGTTGCAGGGAAGAGCTTGAAAATGTGACTCAACTGTATGCTAAATGATTGAACAGCAGAAGGCAAATAATACACAACGTGTATTGGTCTTTAAAACCTTGTGATTTGTTGGGGGCATGATTCGTGAATTTTCAGTGGTCATGATAGGCAAAACTGCTATTCTCAAGTTATCCTGAAACTTTTAAACAGAGTTTGCACACTTAGTTTTTCACAGAATAGGATTTTCATGTAGCAGCGTAACTTAAAACGCATGTACAATATCAAAGGTACAACTACATGTGCAAGATGACCTCTTATTTCTACACGGGGAGCAGTAGTAGCCATATTTGAAGGAGAGCTGCAACGGTGGCTAGGGGTGTAGTAAACATACTACCTGTATTTCTGCATGACCCTTACATTTTGTGTGGCTGGGAAAGCATTTCTGAAATTTTTAAAAAATTCTTTCCCAAGCTGCAGGGTATACTTCATACATTTGGCCAAAAAGAAAAAAAAATACTGAAAGATGGTGGTGGGAGAACATAATGTTACATCCTAATTTAGGACCAATAGGAAGCGGGAACAAATCCCGGTAGATGTTGTAAACATCTAATGTTTTATTTGCAACTTCTAAGTTTAAAACATCTTGAGGTTGAGATTTTGTTTGTTAATTGCATATTTTTAGACACTACTATCAACGTATTGGAAGAATGTAGCAGAAGTGGATAGTGTAACTTGAACAAACAAGAAATAAAATCTTAAGACTTATGACTTTTTGTAACTGAGTCACACTGCATGCAAATTTAGGGCTCGTTTAGACACAGTTTTTATCAATTTAACCAAATTGGTAGAAAAACTGATTTAGCTAAAATTGGTGCAGCTTTCAAATGTGGATGCAATTATCAGTATAAAAGTATTTATACCAAGATAGCTTATTTTAATAAATTTAATCTAAACTACCAATTCATTTGAATAGATATTAAAACTGTTTAGACCAGCCTTTATGATCTAACTTTCACAAAATACGCTCATCCTTGCCACTGTTGTGCAGTTTTGTCTTAATATTTGTAGAGACTTGGTGAGGCATGTTGAATTGCAGCTTGCACAAGTTGATCTAATAATTATTCTGCCTTTCCCTATTTGAAATGCTTTCCAAGAACATATCCAGATTGCTATCTTTTTCTGATAGAAACTATTAAATGAACATGTGAAGTCACTTACTACATTAATACATTAGATTTCCAATGCCCGATAGTAGCTTTATGTAACTTTTGGTAAACACCTTTAAAAAAAAAAAAAAAAAAAGTCATCAGTTAACTTAAAACTGAAATTTTATTCTTTCGATTCTTTTAACCTATACAGTTGTCCTAAAATCTTGGTTGGCTGAGATTATGTAAAAAAAAATTCACCATATAAAATGCTATTACTGTAATAGTTCCTACATAAACTTCCATTCTTTTGTCAGTACTATCAAGCAATACAACTATTTCCTTCTAAGGCCATCAAGATGTGGCTCTTTTTGTAAAGTCTACATAAAGCTACATAGGCAGTAATCTTTCCTAACATTTCTTAATAATTCCACTGTCTTGTGTTTTCATGTTGAAAATACTTCTGCTTTTTCCTCTTGAGTGCCAACTTCTTACTAGAACAATTTCTTAATGTAATATGTTTACCTGGAATGTATTTTAACTATTTTTGTATAGTGTAAACTGAAACATGCACATTTTGTACATTGTGCTTTTTTTGATGTGGAATATATGCAGTGTGATCCAGTTTTCCCATCATTTGGTTGCGTGACCTATGAATATTGGTCATACCAGACATTAAATTAAAAGAATGACCACTGTTTAAACTTTTTAATGTTTTATAGGAGCATGTGCTGTGAGGTGATCTGAAATTTGTCATTTTTTGTCAAATTGTACTGCTCCTATTTATTGTAATGTAATAAAAATAGTTATTGTGAACTTTTGTTGATATTTAATTTGTTGCTCCTTCCAATAAATGTAATGCTAATCTTTATAATTAGTTAAGTACCCCATGAACTTCATTTATTTGGCAGCCCCTCTTAATTTCTCTTGCTGTTTTGATTACCAACCACACTGCAGTCATCTTTGCCCATCAACTTTTGTGCAAACCCCCTACCCCCCTATTTACGGTCATATACTCCCTCTTTTTACAGGAGGACTCTTTCCTTTGTGAAAGCTGTAATGAATAAATTTGGGCAAAACGTTCTAGGACACTGGTCCAGGTCTTTGTTGTTCATGTATTACTATAACATCCTATTTTCAGTTGCTTGTAACTTTGCCAAACTTGAATAGTTTGGGCTGAAATTTTCCATGCTGGGTGCCTGCTGCTGCTTATTAACTGTAGCCAAAATGGTTCAGGTGTTTTGAGAATGAAGCTAGGGAAAAATACATTGTTTTGCCCAAGTTTAAAAATTTCTGGCAACCTTTTCTCTGAACAGTATTAGTGACCCTGTGCTTTGGAGCAGGGACTAGAAATTTGGCTGAGGTGGTCTCTGCCAGAGGTGCTCGTTTTGCTACTATCTCTATGAAAATCTGCCCAAACGTGGCCAGATTCTAAGCCTTTGGGAAAAAATTACAATTCACACATGCACAGACTTGCTAGAGCTTTGTGGCTATATTCCCTGAAGATTTTCTGTCCACACTTGGTGTGCTCCAACCTGTGGCTGGGCAGGACTTTCCCTGCAATTGGATTTCTGGGCTGTTGCTAGCTTGGCACCAGAACTGAGAGCATGAAGCCCCTTTTCTGTGCTCTCAATGTTGCCTGGTCACTGAGGAGGGAGTTGCCTGATTCAAATGCAGAGGAGACCAGAGTCAGATCTGGGAGGGGCAGAGTACCTTTGGACTGGGAGTGCAGGAGGGAAGATGAGACAGGGAATTGGAGGGGATGGTGAGGGGGAAAGACTGGGCCTGGTTGGACAAGGAGACTGGCGTTGGGGAGTGAAATGAGGAGTAGGAGGCCTGGAAATGAAATTTCACCCCCCCAGAGATGTTCCAAGATGATGTTCTTCTTTCACAGACTGGACTCCTTCCTAGTCTGCATCCAGCAATCACTCGCCCCCCCCCCCCATTAAATCAATGAGTTAACTGCAATTAATCAACAGCTTTTTTCATTATATATATTAGCTATCTGATCTGCATTGTTTTAAATTCATCTGTTCAGTGAAGAAAACGAAGTGAAGAACCAAATTAGGTTAACTTTCTGTCAGAGCATTTTTGCGCATCAAGCTTCAGTTCAGGATAGATCAGAATGGCGGACAAAACCTCTAAGCTATGAGTATAAGATCATATCTGTATGCCACAGAACTTTATATTCAAATAATTAAAATAGCCACTTGAAATGTAGTAATGTAGCCACTGACATGGTGATCAAGTATGTCCTTTGATTTGGAAATATTTAAGTCTCATTGCCTTTAACATAACCATTCTTCTTTATTCATTCATCCTAGCCACTAACCTGCATTGTTACAAGCGCAGGGTCAACAATATTGCACATCACTTATTCTTATTGTCATCCTCATAGTAGCGCTGTTTCATAGCCCTGTACTTTCTGAGATAATACAAGGCCTCTAGCTCTTTTATAACAAATTCTCCACGACTAATTAGTTGCTTAATTTTTTCTGGATCTTTCACATCCTTATTTTTTAGGAAAGCTGCCTTCAAACGGCTTCTAAAGTAGTCTGCTCCTTTGGGATATTCCCTTCCAAGGTACAGCAGCTTTAAAAACAAAAACATATTTTAGAACTTAGCAATATGTGGCAAAAATGTTTTTATCTAGTTAAGCAAAAGTGCTAATTGCATTCAAGACACTTACATTTTTGTAAAGATTCAGCACTTCACCTCTTAAAGGATTGGCCATTTTTCATATTTCACTGAACATAGCCACTTAATTCTTGTGATTATTTACCTGAAGAATAATTAGTTTGATATTAGCCACATACTGAACTAACAAGTGACTGCACTTTAACCATTTATGGTATGATATTACTTACACTAATGCCCAAAATACCTGTTGAATTAGTTTTCCTTAACTTTTGCTTTCCTGAATTAGTAGAAGTACACTTACAATTTAATGAAGACAGATCTTATTTTAAGCAAAGTTGCAATCAATTCTGAAAATAAATAATAATTCAATGTATATTTCCTAGTTCCAGAATGTGAGCTTGCTAGCTTCCAACATTTAGCCTTTTTTATAATTCCCTATGTTAATATCTAGTTTATATTGCAAGTAGGCAATGTACCCTCGGCCTCAATTAGATTGTTAATCTTTCAAGTACCTTGGCCCTGACAATTCTGAGATGAAGCAAAACTGGCTTGTTTTGCATCTGGAAGTAAGGTATTGTTACTATCAAAACCAAGCAATTGAGATTCAAAAGTGGAAACAACTGAAATAGAAGTCACTATGGAAAAGTTCTTCTAAGTTCTTTTATACTCTGTTTTTCCTTAGTTTCTAGTCACAGCTGATCTGGTATTTGTGATTAGAAAGTAGCTGAACATGAGGTCAGCAAGCTTTATGTTCTGAGTTTAACTCTTGTAACAAGACTGCACTTGAATCCTAGAAAGATTTGTATGAAGAGTAGAGACCCAAGGAAAGGACAGATTTCAAGCAGTCATTTTGCAGCACTCTCATTACTAAATGTTTTCAGCAACTACTGAGCTGTATGGGGGCAGATCCAACACAGCCACCTTATGAGTATTCAAGAAATAAATGATTGCAGGATTCATTTTCCTATGCTTGACTTTATCCTCACACACAGACTGTCTCATCAAATATTATCACTCCATGTATTAGTTATAAGCCTATTTTATTATGAAGTGGAAGCTGGAGGATTTACCTTGTTGGGCTCAAAGTCTGTACAATTACTTTCAACCCAAAGATTCTGGAAAGTTCAGTAAAATGCCTGGGGCTCCTAGGTGCTACAATACTACTAATGAAGGAATTATTTTCAAAGATAAATTTCAGAAGTTTCAAGTAATGCTTCTTTTAAAAAGTTAGTCCTCTGAGCATAAGTGCCTTTCACATGTTGAAGAATAAAAGATATTTGAAAAATATCATACTGTGTACAGTACATTTTCTCATTCTGTTTTTTTCCTCTGAGATGTGGATGTTGAGCTACATGCTGAAACCCAAGCTCCATATTTGGCTTGAAAGAATATTCAGACTCAACATCCCTTCCCACCAAGCAGGGCTTGAGAGAACTGCAGTGTGGGGTTCAGACTTAATTCAGATCCCATAACAATGTTGCTAAAGCATTTAAAAAAAAGAGTCAGATCATTCAGAATATTTCTAATGTAATAAACAGGAAAAAAATGTGAGAATTGAATCAGTGTACATCCTAAAAGCACTAAGTTGCCTAAACTACTTGTTTTATATCATCTTTAAATTCCAAATCCTAGCACTATAAAGTTATTTATTAAATGTTGCTTCTAAACTCTGGCTGTAACCTGACTGACAAGGCCATCGCAACTAAAGAGAAGCATCAGTGTTGACTCCTTCAGGTGTTATCAGTGTTAAAACGTGGCAGCAGAATGACATTACTATAAAGGAAGTGTTTTCACTGCTTAACGCAGGGGGGAACAAGCTTTTTGGCCCGAAGGCCACATCTGGGTGGGGAAATTGTATGCAGAACTATGAATGCAGGGCTGGGGTAGGGGTTGAGGTGTGGGAGGGGGTGCGTTGTGCAGGAAGGGGCTCAGGGCAAGGGATTGGGGTGCAGGAGGGGTGCATCAGGGGTTTGGGGTGCAGAAGGCAGTGCTGAGTGCAGGCAGGGGCTCAGGGGGTTGGGTTGCAGAAGGGGTGTGGCAGGGGGCTCATAGTAATCTTTCAAAGTCAATGATCCATTGTAAACTTTTGAAAGAACAACCATAAAATATTGTTCAGAATTACGAACATTTCAGAGTTACAAACAAGGTGTTCGTAACTGAGGTTCTACTGTACCCTTAGTAACTTGGCACTATGTGAATGTAGACAGTGTTGTGACCATGAGTAGGCCTCACTGATGTTAAGGACTGAACTGACTAAATGGGGCAATTAATGTACTAGGTCTACCTTGAACTCCTGAACTTCTTTAAAAAGATAGTGAGTAGAAGGAGGTACCATTTTAATAGCATCACTGCTTTAATGCAGAAAGTCAAGGTGGGAGGCCTTCCCCTAGATAAACTATTTCACATGACATAGAAAAAAAAAAAATCCTAACTAGCACTATTTGGTCCCTGTGATGGCAGTCTCTGCAGAGGGGCTAACTGACAGGGAGAATGAATTACCCTCTTCTCAACTGAGCTAGTGCCTCCATGATGAAGTTGAAGCCCATTGGTGGGGTGTTTGCACTGCTGCTGCCTCTACCTTTTCTGTGGAGAGAGGACTTCAGTCTCCTCAGCTGTCAGGCACCTTTCACAAGCAATCTAATCACCATAAAAAAACAAATATTAACACTGGAGAGTGGGCAGGGGATAATATGTTGACAATTTTTATACTTAAAGTATGATATAACAAGTGGAGTGTGTGTGTGTGAAATATAAACCCACATACTTCAAGGAACCCCGGCGGTTCCACCAATACAAGGGATGACGATACCCCAGTGAGCCCATTCTGAGTCTCAGCTCAATCCTTTGTTTTTACTGAGGAGGTAGATAAGCAGAGTTTACGTGACTTACTCTGAGGGCCACTTTTGTTTGAAAAGGGAGTCTCCGCCTATTCCATTGCCCTGCTGGCTCATAAGAAAAACATGCATAGGCAGAATTGATAAACACACATTAAAAAAATATTTTGAGCCTTTAGCAGATCACATTTTCCAGCTTTTCTTCACAAACAAGGGCTAGATAGAAACGTCTCTTCTCTCCCCCCCACCCAAACAAAACTGAGATTCTCACATAATCACATGGTTTCAGGAGCTGGAGCTTTAAGGCATCCCTAAAAGTGTTTGAGACTGAAAATAAAATCACAAGAGTTGGCAACACCATGGATATCTGTGATGAGAGCCTTGGGGCTGGCTATAAACTCCTGGATTGGATTATCAGCATGGGGGTGGGGGCAGCACAGGGCTGTGTGTGGGTTTGGATTGCTACCCCAATATCAGCAGCAATACAGTCATTTAAAGGTATGTCTACACGGCACACTGAGCCCAGGATTCACTCAGGTTTGAGCCTACACCCTGCTTCTTTCAATGTGCAAGTCAGTCTGATTTGGGTCAGCAAGTACTCAGGACCCAGCCCTAAGATCCCATTCAGGGGGAGTGGACTCAAAGCCCAAGTCCTACCCAGCCTCCGGTCCAAGCCCTGTAAATTTGCAGTGTGGACGCAGGTCAAGCTGCAGATCCAAGTCAGAAGGTCTGTGCAGGGCAGTATGGACGTGTTAGCTGGGGTAGGGGACCCAGGTCGAGCAACTGTAAGGCCAGGTTTACAGTGCAGTGGGGACGCCCAAGCGCTGGCTCGGAACCAGCCCAGACCCCACAGAAAGAGCCGGGTTCACAGTGCAGCGCAGACATTGCCCGGGAGCCCCCCACTCCCTTGCCTGGCCTAGGGGGCCCCTGGGGATTACGGGGCGCTGCTCTCAGTGCAGCGTCCACAAGCCCCCTCCCAAGCGTGGGGCAGGGCGCTGCTCCCCTGGCTGCCCTCCCCGGGGTGGTGCGGGGTTAAGGCACCTGGGGGCTGGGACTCAGTCTTGGCGTCAGGGCAGCGCCCATCCCCGCAGCACGGCCTCCGCCCGGGTCTCGGAGGGGGAAGGGGGGGGTCTGTACCTCACCACTTGCCCTGCCGCAAAGCCAGCCGCACACGCTTTACGGCACCTTCTGCCGGCCGTAAAGCGCCACCGATCCCGCCCCAGCTTAGCAACCCCTCCCGCAGAGTGAGAAAGTCACGAGCGAGCCACCTCCCCGGGGCGGCCGCCTGAGTTAAGCGTGTGGAAGTCTACTGCGGCTGCGCGAGGGTGGGGGGGCGGGGAGAGGGTTGCTAGGGAGTCCGGAGCGGCTGCGGGAGAGCTCCACGTGGGTGGGACCAGTCGTCTAGGTAACGAAGGGGAGGGAGTGGTAAACAGCGCCTCGCGCCGGGCTGGGGGGGATGCGTCGAGATGGTGAGAGCGGGGCGGGGGGGCGACCCCAGGGAGGGCCCGGCCCTGGGGTTGTTTGGGGGGTGGGGGGGACTGGGGTTCGGCGTCCCCCGGCTCAGCTCCCCGTTCCCATCCGCTCCGAGCCCCCTCCCCGCCCGCTCGCCTCTGAGCCTTTAGCATCGCGGCTTCCGCCTCTCACCCAGCCCGGCGGGCCCCGGCGCCTGCCCCTGCCAGTTGCACACAGGAGATGAACCGTGACAAGGGAGGCGAGCTGGTTTGCTTTAGTCTCTTCCAGGGGCGCTGGAACAATTTGTGCCGTGGGGGTGCTGAGAGCCATTGAACCAAACTGGAAACCCCTGTATAGAATGGAAACCCCTTCAAGCCACCCACAGCACCCCTAGTTCCAGCACCTACTATCCCTTTCCATTACGTTGAGGGTAAGGGTTACTGGGACAGTCGGAGGGTTAAACAAAAACAATCAGGTAAACAGGAGGGAGGTGAGTGCCAGTAATCACGGAACAGGTAGAAGGCACTAGGCAGAGAGGCCATTCAAATGTCTCCCACAAGAGGGCATTTCAGCCTTCTGCAGCCCCAGCCAGTTCTGCTGGGACTGCCAACAAAAGTGCCCATCTAGTACTGATTATGGTGGTGGTTTTTTGCAATGTGGACCTTTATCCCCTAGGAACTGGACTGAGACCACCAAAGCATTTCACACAGGCCACTAAATTGGAAATCCTACTCAGTTATTGCCAATCTGGGCTTGACTTAAAAAGGTAATCTGGAGGAGACAGGCACTTTGGGCCAGATCCTCAAAAGTATTTAGGCTCCCCAAATCAATGGAAGTTAGGAGCTTAAGTATCATTGAGGATCTGAGCCTTTATTCCTCCCTGATGAATCCATTTTTTTATGTTGTAGGAAATCCCTGGGATATTTTAGCATGAAACTCAGCTTTCATTCCCCTAAACTTCACCTTCACAGTTTACCAAAACCATTCCACCACAATAGACAGCTTCTTCCACTCCCCTAGAGGAACCCTTTATTCCTTCCCCAGGTATCCATTTCTGCCCATCTTTACCTCCATGTTCTCTTGCTTCTCCACTCCACTGGCTGCCTCTACATTCCACTTCAATATTCTCTGTAAATTTTCAAAATAATGTATTAAAAATTTAGCCAATCAATGTCCATACATATTAACTAACTATCTCCTACACATTGCACTGAAAAAGTAACCATTTGGTACATGATACAGTGTCCTGTAGGGATTGAGTGTTGGGATACTTTAGTTTCTATTCTTTGCTCTGACTTCTTCTTAGCGTATGTGCAACATGCTTCAGGTGGCATGTGACCAGGATTCATCACCGAATTTGATCTGCTGGTTGGATCATTAGTTTCCCTGGCCTGGGCCGGGTACCAATGGGGAGTGCAACGTGAACGCTGATCCATATAACTCCTTGTGTTACTTTTGGAAAAGTCTCTTAGTGTCTTTGTGCTTCAGTTTCTCCACATAAAAAAAGGGATCAATGATACCCATTTCTGTATAGTAATTGATAATAATTGTAAGATTATATGTACTGCAAACCGGTGAAAGCAGGAAGCAAGGAGTTCAGACATTTTTACCTAACATGTACTAGTCTCTGATGATGTGAATTGACTTTTAATGGAGAAATTAGAATGGATGTGCTCCCCCAACCTTAACTACAGTATATTGCTATGAAATGTGGCGGTGGTCTGTTAATACCAATAAAAGCAATGAAATTGTGTAATACTGGTGGTTCTCCCTTTCCCCAGTATTAAAGCTCATTGGCTATTCCCCTTCCCTCATATTAAAGTTTTTTCATATTATCTGTTATCAATGGCTAAACTTTGAATTGAAATATACTTACCTATCTGATTTTAATTTACTTAGTAGCTGCATTTCTTAATTATTCCTTATAATTTGTTTAGGTACTATAATCTCTGACTCTCTCTCTCTCTTCTTTTTCTCTGAACTTTTAGGGTCCAAAAAAGAAAAAAAAGGTAGGTAGGTAGATATGTAGATATATCAGATAGATGTAGATATAACTGCAAAGATGCAATCTAGCTCAGACACAGTTTGTTGGACTCAGTAGTGTTCATTTACATAGTTGGAAATAACATTCTCCTCACTTAGGAAATTACAGGGTGAAATTCTATGGATTGTGTTACAGAATCATAGAACTGTAGACCTTGAGAGGCCATCAAGTTTAGGCCCCTGCACGGAGGCAAGACCAATTAAATCTAAACAAGTGTTTGTCCAACTTGTTCTTAAAAATCTCCAATGCTGGGGATTCCACAGTCTCCCTTAGAAGCCTATTTGAGAGGTTAACTACCCTTATAATTAAAAAGTTTTTCCTAATATCTAACATAAATCTCCCTTGCTGCAGTTTAAGGCCATTGCTTCTTGTCCTATGTACAGTGGACATGGAGAACAATTGAGCACCATCCTCTTTATCACCCCTCAACATGTTTGAAGACTGTTATCAGGTCCCGTCCCCCACAGTCTTTCCTTTCTCAAGACTAAACATGCACAGTTTTTTTTTAACCTTTCCTTAGAAGTCAGGATTTTAAAACCTTTTATCATTTTTGTAGCTCTCCTCTGGACTCTCTCCAATTTTTTTCATCTTTCTTACAGTGTAGTGCCCAAAACTGGACACAGTACTCCAGCTAAGGTCTCACCAGAGCTGAGTAGAGAGGAACAGTTACCTCCCTTGTCTGACATACAACACTTCTGTTAATATACCCCAAAATAGTAGCCTTTTTTTTGCATCTGCACCACATTGTTGACTCATATTCAATTTGTGAACCACTATAACCCCCACATCCTTTTCAGCAGTACTAGCCAACTGCTCTCTCTTTTGTAGTTATGCATTTGATTTTTCCTTCCTCAGAGAAGGACTTTGCACTTGTCTTTATTGAATTTCACCTTGTTGATTTCAACCTCTAATTTTATCACGATCGTTTTGTTTTCTAATCCTGTCTTCTGAAGTTCTTGCAATGACACCCAGCTTGGTGTCATCTGCAGATTTCATATGCATACTTTCCACTCCATTATCCAAATCATTAATGAAAATATTGACTAGTACCGGACCCAGAACTGAACTCTTATGCAGAAGGTCAGACTAGATGACTCACAGTCCCTTCTGGAGTTAATCTGCAAAATAGTATTACAGTTTTGCAGGTTTTGGCTGGGACGGGGGGAGGGAGGAGGAGGTTAAAACATACTGTTGGGTCAGATTTGGTGGAAAAGTTAGATTTTGTAAAAACGAGACAAAAAATTCCAGTATAGTTTTTAAAATTTACAAAAAACAAACATATTCTCCTGTAGCATTTTGTTAGGTCACACATTGCAACACTGGACTAAGGCAGGAGAATCTGAAAAGAAAATTGATTAGAATATGATTGTAAACAAGTGAAACTGACTAGTCTGTTTTCATCTTCCATGCTGAGAGATAGAGAGAAAAGTCAACCAATGACATATGGTAAAAAGTAAGTTAGATATCTAAAAAATTTTCAGCTTTAATATCCTAAGGCCTCATCCTGGAGTCAAACTCACGAGCATACCTTTCATGTCTGTATCTACAGATCTCATTGTGGCAGAACTTTGCAGATGAATGCTTGAGTAACACGTGATGGGATTCACTCTTGCCTTAGTAGGTCATAACTAAGGCTACAATTTAGTCACGGGTATTTTTAGTAAAAGTCATGGACAGGTCATGGGCAATAAACAAAAATTCACGGCCTGTGACCTGTCCATAACTTATACTAAAAATACCTGTGATTAAATCTTGGGGGGGGGCAGGAGGGTGCTGCTGGGAGGGGGACATCTGTGGGGGCCCACTGCTGGGGTGGGGGCGCCCGGGGCCAGCGGCACCAGCTGCCCGGGGGGCCGCAGATCATGGCTGCTCCGGCCGGCCAGGGAATGCTGCCAGGGGCCACAGACTGTGGCTGCTCCAGCCGGCCACCCAGGGACCGCTACTGGGAGACGCCAGAGCAGCGGCTGGTGTGGCTGTCCCCGGGGCTGCTCCAGCAGCAGCTGATGTGGCTGTTCCCCGGAGTCCCTGGCTCTGGAGCCAGCTTCTTGAGCAGTCCTGGGGTCAGCCACACTGGCTGCTGCACAAGTCACAGAGGTTGCAGAAAGTCACGGAATCCGTGACTTCCGCGACCTCTGTGGCAGACACGGAGCCCTAGTCATAACTACATTGTCATCAGTAGAGTTACCAACTCTTTTTGCATCAGTAAATTTGTCCTAATGTTTTGTTCAAGTTTCATAACAAATCTTTTAACTAAGTTTCAGTTTATACATTTGATTTAAGTTTTCATTTGTTTTTTGCCATACAAGGTTCAAAACATTTTGTCATTTTGGCTGGCCATACAGAACAGAATAGCTTCCCTGATATTTCTGTTAGCTGACAGTATGCTAATCACCTTGGAAATAACAGAATTCAGAACACATCTTTTAATATTGAATGAAAAGGGTCCTCCTGGATAATCTGAAAGCTCTTCATAAAAATGGTTTGTTTAAGATAATATTTACCAAAAATATCACTACTACCAAAATGGACAAAAGTACATAATGAGAAGGCTTCCATTATATCACACTATTTATTTACAAGAGTTTGGCCTTCTGCTCTTTTCTCCTCATCTTCCTT